CTGGTGGCGCAATCGTGATGAAACTCTCAGGCCCTGGAGCTCCGCTGCCGCCCTCTCCAGTCGCGCGAATTGGGGGTCACCTAAACGAAACACAGTGATGAGTTAAACAGCATCCAGTGATGAGTTAAACAGCATCCAGTGATGAGTTAAACAGCATCCAGTGATGAGTTAAACAGCATCCAGTGATGAGTTAAACAGCATCCATTGATGAGTTGAACTGCATCCAGTGATGAGTTAAACAGCATCCATGCAGTGATGAGTTAAATTGCATCAAGTGATGAGTTACACTGCATCCAGTGATGAGGTAAACAGCATCCAGTGATGCAGTGATGTTTTATCGGGCCTCACCACGCAGAGGAGGAATACAGAGAACTTGATAGTTTGGCGAATTGATTGTGGAACGTCCAAGCTCGCTCCGTCGGATTGATGAAAAGTTATTTTTGCTTTAGCGGACGATGCTAGGCCATACTCAAACCCGGCTACTTTTCTGGAGGCTGGTTGATCGAATTTAATAGGTTGTCTTCGTCATAGATGCTTGCTGCCGATGACGTGTATGACGGAATTATTTGAAGTTAAGTAATTGAAAGAAGGGATAATGTACGCCGTTCGTAGTTTGGTATTGTTGGTCTATAAAAGGACACCCTAAGGAAAAAAAACCAAAGTCATTGAGTTTTCGCTGAGTATCTGGCTTCTAGAAAAATTTGTTTTAAATAATCTATTCAGTGCTAACCTATGAATCTAAAAATTTCGTATCTACAGTTAACTATTTATTTTCTTTGGTATTTTTGGTTATTATTATTGCACTTTCTCTTACTTCACATTAAGGAATACCATGATTATATTTTCTTCGGTTTTCGAAATTTATTTGGTGTTAAAATTTGTTTTTAACTTATAACCGACTTCCTCGAAAGCCTGCGAAGCAGCGACAATCCACGAATGTTTTTCTCATTAACATTTCTTGCAAAAAGCGATAAACTGAAGTCCCGGTAGGTGAAGCACGATATAGCAAAGAATTACTATATAGTTCACCATTGTTATATACTAAAATATATTATATTATATATATTATATTATACTAAATTATATTTATATTATTATATAACAACGGTGAGCTATATAGTAATTCTTTGCTATATCGTGCTTCACCTACCGCGGCTTCAGTTTATCGCTTTTTGCAAGAAATGTTAATGAGAAAAACATTCGTGGATTGTCGCTGCTTCACAGGCTTTCGAGGAAGTCGGTTATAGGTTAAAAAAAAATTTTAACACCAAATAAATTTCGAAAACCGAAGAAAATATGATCAAGGTATTCCTTAATGTGAAGTAAAAGAAAGTGCAATAATAATAACCAAAAATACCAAAGAAAATAAATAGTTAACTGTAGATACGAAATTTTTATATTCATAGGTTAGCACTGAATAGATGATTTAAAACAAACTTTTCTAGAAGCCAGATACTCAGCGAAAACTCAATGACTTTGGTTTTTTTCCTTAGGGTGTCCTTTTATAGACCAACACTACCCAACTACGAACGGCGTACATTATCCCTTCTTTCAATTACGTAACTTCAAATAATTCCGTCATACGCGTCATCGGCAGCAAGCATCTATGACAAAGACAACTTATTAAATTCGATCAACCAGCCTCCAGAAAAGTAGCCGGGTTTGAATATGGCCTAGCATCGTCCGCCAAAGCAAAAATAACTTTACATCAATCCGACGAAGCGAGCTTGGACGTTCCACAATCAATTCGCCAAACCCTCAAGTTCTCAGTATTCCTCATCTGCGTGGTGAGGCCCGATAAAACAGCAGACTTGGAACTTTGAAGATCCAAAGCCCAACCCCATTTTTGCAGGTTAACAGTAGCGTAATTAACTAAGATGCCGGGACTCTTTATCCAACGTTCGCCGCCAGCAGAAATAATTCAACTCTCAAGGAAATTCATGTCAAAAGCAGTGCCGGCGATGGACCATAAAATAGATTCGCAACGACAGATCTATTTAGATCCACATCGACGGACCATAAAATAGATCGACGACAATTGTGCTTAGATAGGGTAGGTACTGACCAAAACCCGGTCCCAAACGCATCGGATGTTACAGGAACAATAAAATTTCTTGCTTTAGAGTCTTGACTAATGTTACGAGTCTTTGTGTAAATTATTCTTACATTAATGCCTTCATTTCCTCAGAATCTGGAGCATAGTTCTGTTGTCAATAGGTTGTATTTTCATCCGAAACCTTCAGTGCGGAGGCATTAAAATAAATACCAATAATCATTTAACGCCTAAAATTAATTCTTGATTATGCGACTATTACAGTTTAATATTTATATGCAGCTAGAAATTTTGCATAATCAGTGTCATATAACGTATCATTATACAATTTACCTTCATTGTCCTACAGTATACAATGATGATGCAGGCTGCGTACCGTGGTGCTAACTTCAGCTTTAACAGAATTCAAACAAAATGAGCCAATCAAAGTAGTACCAGTTTTCATTTTATGTAACCTTGTTCGATATATGGCTGTTGCAACGTTGGCCAGCCAGCAAAAAGCTTTTGCATTTGCAGTTAGATTTATGTTTTTTTGGGTAATTAGAAATTACGTAATGGGCAGTTTGAGTGATTGTTTATTTGGTAATTAGATATTACGCCATGGGCAGGTATATGCACCATTTATTATCATGTGGTTTATTGGGTAATTGGAGATGGCATTATGGACCAAATGGAGATGCGCCAAATTATGAGCTTATCAAATATCTTTTTACTCGATGTTACCACGTTTTTCTTGACTTCGTTTCGTGTCCGTCTGTCATCAAAAATGCAAACCTTAATTTAGAGCACTTCTAAACATCCTAGTAAGTTGAAATTTGGCATTCATGCTTATGCTGCCTAACAATTCAAGATTTCATCATCAGAAATAATAATTCAGAAATAATAAATCGGACTTTATTTTTATATAGAGTTTCAACAATTTTTCAAGTTTTCTAAAAACTTCCTTTTCAATTACACTTAGGCGTCGAATAACCGAGAACGCTTCCTTGTGGCACGCCGCTGCGCACTGAAGCCCAGTCTGATACGGACCCATTAATACTGACACGTTGTCGTCTCCCTACTAGAAAATCTCTGATCCATTTGAGTACATTACTCTCAATTCCCAAAGACTTCAATTTACGCAACAACCGCTCATGTGATGCGCAATGAATAAACAGCTGATGAAAAAAAGGAATGTGTGGAACAAATTTAATGCGAAAAAATATGGAGCGATCCAGAATATGTCGACTTCCTTATGGTTGCTAAAATTTTCACGTTCAACCAATTGTGTGGACTAAATTATCAACAGCTTCGAATCCTCTCTTAGCCTGGAACGTATTCGCTAACGATGAAATAATCATCGCAATTGGCGATTCGAAAAACTGAAAAACCTGACACCATTTAATTTATGGAGAACCAATGCAAGAATTTCAATATAATAAGATAACCATTTTATCATCATATTAGATCTACTTCTATGTCGGTAGAATTGGTAAACTGGAGGGATGTGCGCGATGGTGTTTTGTCTAAAGTGACTCCTGCCAATATTCTCATTGTTTGAATTTTGAGTTAGTCTAATAGACCAAGGAACAGACAACTTTATTAGTTTACTAATATTAATATGCCTCATCAGAGGCGCAATGAATGAATCGCAGAAAATGCATTCACGTCCTTCTCTAAAAATTAATAAAATTATAAATTTACCTCGTGCCTTTGATTGATGCTGAATTATGAAGAGTTTTAAGAACAGTTTTGAAGATAGTTTTTTTATAATTCCCACCTGACTAACTGTTGCTGTCATGGTCTTCCCTTCTCGATGCACCAGGTGCAGACCCTGGCGGGCCAACGACCCTATTATTCCCATCTCAGAAACGAACCTATGTAAGATAATCAGGTTAGAGTTAAGATAGAGGCTTAAGATAATTATCTTAGCTTAGTGTCTTAACTAAGGTTAGGTTAAAATAGGTTTGGTTCCATTATCTTAAATTTTTTTTTATTCGTGAAACTTGACCGAACTTACCCTAACCTATGAGGACTCTCACCAATTAAAGATAATCGAAAATTATCTTATACGTGTTTTAGCGTTTTCTAAGATTATCATTATCTTAGATGTAAAATGCACCTGTAATGTTTTATAGGGTCGCTTACAACCTTCTGGTATAATACCAGATTCTGGTATTATTACCATTATTATAATACCAGATTTGCCAGCGACACTTAATTGACTACCTGTTCTGGCTGCCGCTCTTAAGTGATATCGACCACATAAGTAAGTGACACTTGTTTACATGAGTCCAAATAATACAGCTATGGAAATTATTCATGTTAAAATGACATGCATATGTCTCAATATATTTCCGTTACATTGAAGCTTTGGCGACCTGTTGCATTTCTGTCATGGATGAGTGCATTATTAGCCCGGTTATTTTTCCGTGATGGACTCTCGTTGTGTTTTTTTTAGATTAACATGCCAGAATAGTCTTTTTTAACATGAGCCTTTAATGTAAAAATTTTGCGTTGAAAATGATAACATAAGAAGATGAAGTTTACGTAAAACGTGTTATTCTAGAGATATGTGGGTAGAAGACTGACGCAAACGGCGCTCTAAGGTGTCATGGCGCACTAGTCAGCGCCGTGTCGCCTTAGTCGTAGCGCACCTTAGTCGCCGCAGTCAACACGTGGCTAACCACTTCATAAAAGCCTTATGTAATCGTCTAATTCGGTAGTACACTGCCTTCGGAGGATAAAAAACAAGACACAGTAATTTCTGACGGTGAACTCATGAACTTCATTACACTGTGTAAATATTACTTCCACATTCGGCTTCCACTAATTAATTGACCCTCCTATCGAAATATTCTATCTAACGACAGGCACGTCCTTCTCCAAAGAACCATTTGTTCGTTCCTAGGACTGACTAACAATTGAGAAAAATATGTTAAGAAAAATAAAGAAAATTGAAGATGATCTCAGAAATTTTCAGAATAACAGAGATAAATACAGACTCAAATAAACAAATAGTTATACGATATGCTTTTCATAACAAAGGGTATGACCGACATGATGGCATAGCATGATTTTGTCTCATGTTGACCGCATGCAACAAATGTTATTATCTTCCTGAATAAAGTCCCCCAGAAGAGCATCATAATGCCTGCACTGTTGCGTTTGCAAATGTGACCAGCATTATTAAGCTTTTCTAAATTGACCCTCAAATTCCTAGATATTAAATTATAAGCGAGAAATCGTGTAACTAGATTAGGAATACGCCAATTATACCCAGAGAAAACCCAACAGAACAGAATTTACTGCACGCTGAACAGCTCATCCTTGTAGCCATTTATCGACTTCTTCTTTAGGCAAGAGTCCTGCCGCTTGAGCTTTGTTCAGGAAGTCGATGATGCTGTTTCTTTTTACCGTCGCAGGATTTTGACCCTGGCCTGAAAAAATTACATAAATAAACCTGAAATATTTTCTAAATCTTAGGTTTTTTATCGACTTTAGACTTCACGCATATGCTTTTTAGTACGTCACATGTAAAGTGCTGTTACGAGGCAAAACCAGACTGTTCGTTAAAATGACCTCTTGACAGAAATAACTAAAGTCGTAAGTTTAAAAAGAGAGATGAATGTTTGTAAAATAAATTGAGTAAAATTATTAAAACTTTCACAATCCTTAACAATATCTCATTCATGTGCATTCGAAGCTCTACTTGATGTTGTTCTCGATTAAATTCTTATGTTTGTAGATGGTCTCTCCTCTTCTCCGCAACGTAATATAATGTAATATACTAGAACATAAATGAAATATCGCAGGGCTAGGAAATTTGCTATGAGCGCAGTTTTTACAACATGGCTCCATAAGACAAAGATATGCTGAAGTAACTCGTCAATTAATGGATTCAAGGAACTTAACGACGATAAAACAGTTGCTAGGTCGACTAACTTCCTCCTAGGATTTTTTTTCACTTATTAAATGCATCGGATTTTTAATATGAAACGATACATCCGGGATTTTTCTAGTGAGCGATGCAGGTGAAACCTTACCACTGCCTTCGATGCCGAAAAATTTGTCACACGCGAAATTTCCAACATAGTAGAGCTGCCATCGAATGACTTTCGGTCATTCGATGTATTAGTCATTCGATTCGCGTGTAGTGACACTGCGACCCCATGAACTGCACGGCGTCATTCTTCCACAACCTGCACACGAGTGTCATTCCATTGATTCATGATCAGATGTTGTTAACAGTTTGAGAACTTCTTTAAAAATGAATTTAAACGGAATCACTAGGATTGCTTGGACATTAATTTTTCGTGTCAATGATAGTTTCATAATCGAATAATAAGCATGAGCTAAAATTATGCAGAAGTTGATAGAGGAGACAAAACTTACGCTAAAATTTTGCCGGAAAGCAAGTTTATAACAGCTGACCAGTCATACGCCTGACACTCATGAGTGCACGTGAGCGCCACCAGCGCCAGCACCAGCACGCCTGCCTTGCCCTGCGGACCACATAGCGTCAGTTGTCAACTACGAAGCTTCTGCTTTGCAATCAGACGATGAAGCTTCTGTTTCTATTTCATTTTTTCTAATATAAGGTAAATTTGTTATTTGAAGCCTGGTGCTTCAGCTATTGATAATATTCGAGAGTTAACTAAATAGACATTTTTTAAAAATTCGGTAACGTTTCTTAATAGCATATATAAATTCATGCTCCGTAGCACAGTCCCAGGTCTATGCAAACCAAACGTAAACTAAAATCAAACATAATTAAAATTCAGGAATTACGTTACCTTACGTTACGGAAAAATTAGATGTGCGTGAAAAATTGTTCACATGGAAGTGATCATCTTAGAACTTTATAGACAAATCTGTCACATTATAGACAAAACTCTCACCATTGCGCGGGTATGAGACACGAACTGCTGAACAATAGGGGGCGTCGATTTTGTGGACGGTCTTTTGTGCTGTAACCTCTGGAAATGTATTAAAAATACAAATTTTAAAATTTGGTTCGATATTTAATTTTTGAAAACATTAGTGTTTTTAAATGATTGAATACAATGAAAACAGCAGTTTAAAAAGAATTCGTATTTTTAGAATAATAACCAGACATATGATAAATATTACATTCTAAACTGACTGAATTAGGTATCGCTTCGCCTGGTGACCAACCTTGTTGCCTGCAGGCCGCTGTCTCTCTGAGCGCAGAGTTGCAGTTGACGGAATATAAAGGCCAGCCTGCACCTTGCTGAGGGCCAATAGTACGTCAGAAACTGCATGTGTTTGTGCTCATGACGATATACATCAACATGTGCGTGCGCAGTGTTTTCTACCTGCTGTGCTTTTTTTTATATATGCTCTATGAATGAAGAGGGAGTGATTATTGCGATGAATTTTTCATGTTAGTCTAAAAGGGAGCATTAGCGGATTAAACTTGGAATCTTTCTCGAAGTCCAATGTTTTCATTACTCTCAGCACTACCACTTCACTATATGAGAAATGAAGCTTCAAAAAGTTTTAAAAATAAATCATTTGATTTGCTGAAATTGTTTACGTTGTAGCGAGTAACCACTAACACGTACGTCTCGGACAAATTTACGGCCGGACTCGCGGCCGGTCTCCCCAAATTCAGTGAGCAAGGAATATCTCTCAAAGTAATGAACGTAGCTCAATGAAACTTAATACACGTATTCATTAAAACCTAACGGTTATGTTTAGTTTTTCCACTTTAACCTCATTCGTAATTTAAACAGAAATACGTGCTTAAATTTGCAGTCAACACGAAATTTCTTCTAAAATACTGGACATATTTTAACGAAACTTCGGATATAAATACCTAACCTCCCAACTGTGATGTTTAGCTCGTGACACTTTTTTCGATTTTGCCTTCGTTTGCAAGTTATACGGCTTTACGTATACGGTTCTTGGTCAATGCAACTTTAAAAATCAGCCTGAGCTATGCCGGTCGTTTCTCAATATATCCATATAACTCAGAAACGAAGGCGAAATCGAAAAATTGTCACGCGCTAAACATCACCGTTGGGAGGTTAGGTATTCACATACGAAACTTCGTTTAAATCTGTTCAGTATTTTAGGAGAAATTCTATGCTCATTGCGAATTTAAGCACGTATTATTGTTTAAATCACGAATGTGGGAAAAATGAAAAAAAACTCGCAAACGAAGGCAAAATCTTAAAAATTGTCACGAGCTCAACATCACCGTTGGGAGGTTTGGTTTCTATGTTCAAAGTTTCGTTCAAATCTGTACTGTATTTTCGAAGAAATGTCATGCTCACTGCAAATTTCGGCGCGAATGAAACATATTCATATAACTCACGAATGAAGGTGAAATTTGAAATTTTTTATGAGCTAAACATTACCGTTAGGTCCTAATGAATACGTGTACCAAGATTCATCGAGCTACATTCATTACTTTGAGTGATATTTTTTGCTCACTGAATTTGGACACCGGCCGCAAGTCCGGCCGTAAATTTGTCCGAGACGTACCATACGTACGTAATCGAAAGTCAACTGTACATTGCGTTGGCGAGAAAATCTAAACACCCAGTATGGCTCAAGGTGGTAATGGTGCAAGTTATCAAGTCGTAGTCATAAACAAAATACGTTGAAACCAAAGGGTTATTGTGAGGCAGCGGCAATCAACATTTATTGTAAGAAAGGATAATTACTTTCAATAATCACATTTGCTAATCATCTTATTCGATCGCACTGAAGATGCACCACCTACAACAATTGTCTTGATAATACAACAATTGTCTTAATAATACAAAAATTGTCTTAAATGACGTCTCCTGGGAGATTCAGACGCTAGCCACTAAATAATACAATGACAAATAGGGAAATATGCGGTTTTCTTTCACTGACAAATTTACAAGTATGTTTTCCACTCTTTCAATAATATAGATGATTTCATATGATGAACTGGGACCGTTACGGGTGACCGTTAATATTCAAGAGGTGCCGTCTTAAATAGAGTTGATTCAATTTTAAATTCAACACGAGGGATTCCCGTAGAAATGATTCACGTCATCGAAAGATACCACAGCACCGTTCCTACAGGAATAGCATTTCGGGTTCGAAGTACAGCAATCCTAACGATTGATCATTTTAGCGACATATCGTTTTAATGGACCCTTAAGCGTTTACGGATGATATAGACATTCAGGAGAAAAGTGACAGAGGAATTGGTAGAAATTCACGTATATGACGTTTACCTCCATCGTCTGTCGTCCAGTATCTGTCTTCTCCCGCTCGTATCTCTCCATTTTCAAAAACGATAAACGGTCGATAATTATCGCACACAGCACAGTACCCCACAAAACGCCGAGTTCAATTTCTACCCAAATATGATCCTGATAATTTTGAATCAAACGATTCGCTATGAATAAAATAATCTGAATACTTATATTATACGGTATACGGTGCTGACAAGTGCTTAGTGGCGACGGTTTTTACGAGGGCGAAGTAAGATCAGGAAATTCGTTGATCAGATTTAGTAAGGACTTATTGCTACCGCTGAAGACGTTGCCATTGCGTTTTGCGTCAGAGCATGCTAGAGTGTCAAGGTTGACAGACAGATGGGCTGTGTTATTGACGATCTTACGCTTCCCTACGTTTACGGCTTTACGCCTAGATTATAAAATGAAAGAAAGACTACGCCAAGAATTGCGTGTTTTACGTTAGCAATTGTGAGAGTAAATTGGCGTCGCAGGTGAAGATCGAGAGAAATAAGTTTTTCACCGTAAACGAGAATCGGCGAGCCATTCGCTGCTTTGAGAAGCTCTTTCTCAAATTCATTCATAAATAAAAAAAATCATTCCCACAATCGCTCACTTCTCCGAAGCGAGAGAACGACTGAAGAAAGATACGGGCATAGTTAATCCGTTGACTGTTTGTCGGAGGACTGCTGCCGCAGCAGAGTTGGATGCGTCACAGGCGATGTACGTCTCCGCGCCAGGAATTGGGTGCGACAGCATCGTTGCTTCAGCCAGTAAGCCGTAAGGCAGACGCATGAATAAGGCACGCATGTCTTCTAGATGCTGTTCATCGTCGTCTGATGCTACCAAGATGTCGTCGATGTAGCTGAAAAAAGTTACTGGACGAGTTACCTTCGCTTAAAGGAACTGACAAATCACGAAGGGCTTCATCCAAGAAACGCTGAAAAGTCTGACTAGCAGAGCACAAGCCTAAGCTCATTTCAAGAAACCTGAGTAAACCAAATAAAGTGACAATATTGTTGTGGTTTTTGGAATGTCATCAGGGTGAATCGGCACTTGTAAAAAGGCTGATTTTGGATCAATACGTGAAAAACTTTTCTCAACATTATGTTTGGCATTGAAATCTTTTGAAATGGTAGAGAGTAAGCATCAGGCTTTGTGAGCTCGTTCAGCGCGAAATAGTCCCCAATTGGCTTTCAGGAATTATCTTTCTTTGGACTCTTAAAATATATATATTATATATTACAAACTGGATGGTGTTATTAATATTATTAAATATAACATATAACTATTATTGGAGTTTTATGTTATATTTAGTCTATAAAATAAACTCTCATACATACATATATGTATATTATAAGAGTTATAAGCTTAACAATAACCGGACAGGATTAGTTACATTACCGGACAAGGGTTAGAAACCAGGACAAAATCGCTTACGTTTATATACTCTGCAATTAGTTTGTACTTAAAAACCGGACACGAAAATGAATGAACTACACTACCGGACACAAAAAAACGCCAACCTCATTAAGTTAGGGTTAGGTGGGTCTAAAACCCTTCTTTACGTTGCTAAAGACTTTTCTACACGGGTTGGGTCCAGCCAGGTCAATTTTTTGCATATATTTTTGCAATTTATAAAAAAATTTGAATTCCGGTCAAGTGGACTTATAAATATATATAATAATATATATATACATATATTATAATATATTTCTATATGTCCGGTGCGTCACTGTGGTCATCGTCATCAGTTCCATTCAAGTTATCGATCGAAGTCAAATAACGACCGCGCCTAAAGAACAGTCGACGACAAGCTAACGATTCTGCTTCAAGTTATCGATCGAAGTCAAATAACGACCGCTCCTAATGAACAGTCGACGACAAGCTAACGATTCTGATAGCTGAACTGCATTCGTACATAATAAATCTCTAATGTTCTGTTGGATGCTCATAGATGCGGTCTTGATAATAACGTTCATGTTATCAGCCTAGAGCTCGAATGATCTCTCCTTTGCATCGTTCTTTTCAACTTGGTTGCCTAATGTTATCTTTAATTGAGAAAAACACTTGTGTCTACGTTAGTCGTCGAAAATAAACTCTTATTGAAGTTATCTCGATGAAATAAATCGCTTTAATGAGTTTTCTTAGCCAATACTTAACATCTCGGGATATCTAAGTAACGATCATTGAACGATGCATTCTGTTTGAGATCCTTCCAAGCTTCGAACAATATAAACATAAAATATCGAGAACGAGATTTGAGATTAATCTGAATACTACTTAATGATAATGAACACCTGAAGTAATTAAAAAGATTGATTACTAAAAATGACAACCTCCACGACGATAAATTCGATTGATTCTGGTTTAGCTGCCAGACACTGCTTCATAGAATGCCATGGATACACGGGAAGCTTTTTCAAATGTAATTATCTGTGGGTGCAAATTTTGTCAGTGACTATATTCTTATTATATTTTTTGTATTGCGTACTTCAATTCGTGACATCGTTTTGGATTTCAAATTAAATTATATAAGATTCGCTGTCGGGTGAAACTCGACGATCTTAGGTAGATTAATCCATTATAATTTTGTGATGAAACTATATGAAATTGTCATTATTGTGAATTTACCTTTCCCTCTAGTTGACTTTAACAGTACATGTTAACCATGAACTATCTTCTCAATTAAATACCAAATCAAATATTAGTCATATTCGACAATATTCAAAATTAAATTTCACAATTTTTCTGCACTAACATTTGAAATTCGCGTACGAAATTTGTTAGGAAGCACTCAAGTATTATTCTTAAAGTCATGCAGTAATTTAATCGATTATCTGTACGTATGTCACGGTAATTCTTCAGAATAATTATAGTTTAACATAATAATATTATCTATTTAATTATATCTATATATAACGGCAATTTATACTTTTAGTTCAATTTTGTATTTATGAGGGTCAGGTCCAGTGGCCAATATTTATTTTTCATTTAAACGCCCAAAATATTGTG